CAGTCAGTCCTGGTTGAATTTGAGTGCAATTATTATTATTAAAACACCAGGAGCGGCCATGAGTATTTTTTTTCCTCATTAACCGTATAAATATAGATATATATATATTTTATGATAACTGTTCTCTTAAAAATTGCGCATACACAGATAAACACCCTATATGTGTGTTTGAAACTCGCAAGGGTTTAGTTTCAGGCTGGGAACACCGAGGTGGGCTGGAAGTCAAGCACCATCACAGTTTGACACTTGTTAAGAATATTGTTGTTGTCTTTTTAAACAACAAAACCCTCAAAATATTTTTTATATTTTTTGTTGTGTTTTTTTTTTTTTTTTTTTTTTTTGGGCAAAGTAATAATAATCATTAAAAAAAGAAACCCCAATGCAAACTGAAACAACCATGTCTGGAGAAGTGCGTTTGAAGCAGTTGGAGCAGTTTATTTTGGATGGGCCAACTCAGACTAATGGGCAATGCTTCAGTGTGGAAACCTTGCTGGATATACTCATCTGCCTTTATGATGAATGTAATAACTCCCCTCTGAGAAGAGAGAAGAACATCCTTGAGTATCTAGAGTGGGGTAAGTTTGAATGTGTTTATTCTGTGTACATCCGTCCATGTTCCTGTCTGCTTTGTATAATGTCTCTGTTGTTATGTGTAAGAGGGGATTGTTTATAACTCAGTGTTTTACTGGGAACTGTTATCAGTTTTACTGTATTTAAGTGTGGTTGTGGTGCTAAAAAGAAATCCATATTGGTTCTTCATCTTTGAGATATGCACGTAAAAAGTTATTTTTTTTTCCTTTCTTTTATGACATGGATCAGACTCTGGTACATGAGGCATATTTGTTTGCCTTCAGGCCCAGCTGGTGAGTTTTGTATCCTGAAGTTGTTTGGAATATAGAAGGATGAGGGATAAATTCTCTAATGCCTGGAAAAAGATCAGGACACAATCCTCTGATTTGGATCTGCGCTCAAATCTATACTGCTTTAAAATAAAGGTGTTGATCAACAAGAAAACCCTCCAGCTCTCTTAAACAATATGGGTTTGTAATGTCTGTGGAAATGGAGAAGATGACATTCTCTTCTTAAACATAAAATCATTGCTGACTTAATTAGGTTGATTTGTCCTGATGAGGGAAACAAAGTTGGAAAGCAGAATGAAATGCTCTCTGTGTGTGTGTGTCCCCCTTTCTCTTTTCTTTCTTCATTTTGGGGGAGGTAGGGTGTTTGCAGATTTTTAAATGCGAACAGGTGAATGGTAGTGTTCCAGTTCTTCTTAAGATGTCACAGAACTAGTTTTCTCTATATTTTTCTTTTGATTTCCTTTTGTTCCTTCTCCTAAACCTAGATGCGAAACAGAAGATGCAGTCTGACATAAGAACCTCCGTGAGAATGGTTACTGTATCTGACCTTCAAACTTCAAAGTCATGCTGCACTTCTGCATTTACATGCAGAACCACTTACCACATTTGCTTTGTAATAAATACATCAGCAAGCCTCCTTTATTTAAAAAAAAAAAAAAAAAGGACACATTTTTTAAGCATGTACCAGGCATTTGATTAATTAGCTGGTCCAGCTCTTTGTAATGAAGTCGGTGAGGAAAGACGTTGTTTTGATAACTGATCTAACAACTTGAGGCTGATGTGTGTGTTTTATTTTCCTGCTCCTCTCCGTAGTCATACTGACATCTAAAGGACATCTGACTCAGTAATTAAGTTTCTCTTACCGTTCATATTGCACTGGTCTTTGTTTTCTTGTTATCTGGAGGAACAGGCTATAATTAATGCCTTCTAGCTAAGGAGGAAATAGTAATTAAACTACTTCTGAAGAATCTTCCCTCTAAAACTGTCACTGGCACACAGAAGCTGTGAAAGATTGGGAAAATATGGTGACTCCTAGGGTATTTTGTATGCAGGAACCTAGTGTAGTCTGCAGCAGATCTAGCCTGCTGATAGCCTGTAGATAATAATTAAAACAAAAGTTAACCATATCAGTGAGATCATAGTACCGGTGTGTTCAGGACCCATTGTGTTGGGTGCTGGTGTGTTCAGTGGTGGTTGGTTGATGGATAAATGCATCATTACAAAGGCTCTGTCAGTACCCAAAGGTTTCTGTAATAAACTTGACAGGCTGCTGATGGAAATAATACGCTGTTTTGGAAAGGCTGGAATAAGGTTTCTTGCTGGCCTATTTTTCCTGCTACTTTTCTGCTCTCGTGCTCCCAGCTATACCTTAGCAGGACTCTTGAGCTTCAGATGAGGCCAGTTCCTCTCGTTTTCAGGACTGAGTTGCCTGAGTCCACTGCTCCTAGCTCTGCAATCTGGACTTCTACCCTAAGAGCTTTTTCTAGAGGGTTTGTGAGGTGAAATACAAGAGTAGCAGTTTCTAGTACCTGCCACTGAAGCATCTGTGTGAATGATGTCTTTATCCTGCAAACACTCACATGAGTTGTCTCTTCTGAAAGTCAGCCCTCCTGGTGAAACTGGTGCTCTCTGGCATTTCTGTGGAGATCAGGGGGTTGGCAAAATCGGGTTCTTACAGAGGTGGCATACCCTTCAGTGCAGTGAAGTTACTAAGGGTAACTTGTTCTTTGATATGATCATGACCTTGCATATCTCTCTCCCCAAAAGGGGAAACAGTGCAAGTGGTTGATTAGAAAGAGGTTATGTGTGGTTTTAAAGTGGGAGACGTGCCGAGTAGTGGCAGAAGTGGAAGGCTGGCAGCCAGAAATCATGGGCTCTGCCCCTGCCTCCCTCAGTGACTCAATGTTGAAGTGCTTTCAACTCTGCTTTTTTTCAGTCTCCCCATTTGACCAGTAGGGAAAATGCCACCAGTGTTACACCAGGGAGTTCTGAAAGCTGCTCTATGCGAAGCTCTCTTAGTCTTGAATGTACCATATAAAATGGTGTGTATTTAATTTATTTTTCCTATCAGTGAACTAAAACTTGGTGCCTGGTATATCTGCTGGTGGGTGTCAGTTGGTTGCTATCTTGGAAAGACATTTTGTGGGTTTATACCAAGCATCCACGAATTTGCTTTATTACTGTGAAGAGTGCAATCTGAAATCACTGGATCTGGTCTTGGAATGGCATGAATTTGTATGTTTGTGCATTCCCAAGGTGCCAAGCACAAATTTTCCCCTGAGAACTGTTCATCATCTTAAGCTGAAAGTGCTTTTTAAACTTATTTTTTTCTAGAAGCAAGGTAGATTTTATTTATATAGTTCTAAGAAAAGGCTAATAAATAGCTCTTTGGTAATCACAGCCCCCTGCTGAGCACAACAGCAAATGATTTTCTTCTTGCTTTTCAGTGGTGCAGTTTTGAGGTGCTACTGCTGGTTTTGTGGGGGTTTGGAGGAGTGTTTTTTGGCAGGGTGTACATGGTTATGTATATTTAAGCTGTTCTAGGTCTGAGATGGTACATGTTATGTATATATCATGTAGGACTGAATATTCATAGCACAGTCTGCATTTTGGGGGGTAAAGGTTTAGGAGGTATTCTAGCATGGAAAAGCTAATGTGGTCTTAGTGACAGCCATGTGACTGCTGCTATATTTAGGGGAACTAAGAAGCTTCACGTTCTAGTCCTTGGATCTTTTAGGACTACTTTATGAACTTGTTACCTGGATCTATAATTTATTAAAAAGTGAAGCTGGGTAAAACAGTTGAGCATTTGAACTGGTTGTTCATCTCGTGTTTTGGTTTGATACTACAAGTTGAATTCAGCAAGTGGAGAAAGGAAGGTCTCTGCAGTGTGAAGCTGAGTTTTACATTTTTATAGGTTTTCAGTCTTCTTGAGGTGCTTGAAATTACATTAGATTGGTTTGAAGTGTCAGGTTAATTACTTTGTGATTTAGAATCTGCATTACTTTGCAATCCTTTTTTTTGCTTATGGTGAAAATGTACTTATTTTCCTTATTTTTATATGTTATTAATTTTGTGACATGCAAATAAGATGATTTGATTTTGTTGTTTAATTTACATAGGTATTTTATATGCAAAGACAACCATGGAAACAACCACTGTATTTGAGTTCAGTGGGTAAAATCAGGGTGCGTTTTGAGGTGATGGGAAGGGAACGGAACATTTAGAGTTGGCTTGTTCCATGTATTTGATGCTAGTTTTCATTTTTATCTCTATTGGTATTTGTATTTGTGATTTAGAAAGGGGACTGTCTAATTATAGCAACTGGAGGTTACCAGAAAAAGCTATTGAGAATTCCAAGCACTTTGCTTTTTCTTTCCCTGTGTGTATGAGTTGCTGCAGTGACACAAGACTGTGAGGGAGGTAATGAAGGCTGATAAGCTGAACTTGAAAGAAAAATATAGTGATAGATGCTTTTAAAGATGTTTTTGTTCTGGGAAAACTTCCTTTACAATTGCTTCAGTCTGAATTGATTCTAAAAAGAAACTAGAACAATGTTATTTAAGGTGCATTGAAAGAAAACTAGAATAAACTTAAAAACACTTGGAGCTATAAGGGAGGGAAGATGGAGGGCACTACCAGTAGTATGGTGAAGTCAGTGATTTGACTGCATCTGTTACTTTGTAGGAAAAGTGTAAACTGTCCTTTGGTGGCTTTTATGTTGCTTTTTTTTTAATCTACCAAAAGAGGCTTTGGAAGATGGATTAAATTGTTCTTGTTTCACCGCCAGTAGAACTGAAATACTGTGGTGTTCATGCAGTGCTGATATGGTCATAGACCGGACACTCAAAATCGTTCTATTGTCATGAAAGCATTTTTTCAAGACAGAGTTTTGGAGAGGTTTTCTGTATTTTCTTTTTAGCAATTTCACATTCTTTCTTAAGAAAAAATGGTATGCCTATTTTTGAGCTGGGTTTGTTATTTAAATATGAGTAACAAAAGAAACCAAAATCTTGCCTCTAGACTCCTGCGCCTCTTCGGTGTTTTTCTTCTGCAGGTCATGAAAGACATCACAGGCATTTTCAGCTATGAGCTCCTTATATTTTGTTTTTAAAACAGACTGTTAAAAAAATAATCCTTTATTTAGGTCCTACTGTTAGCAGAGATAGCAGTGAAAGACTTGGCACTCAACATCTTGAAGTGTTCCTTTTTTTTAAAGTAGACTTTGATGCTTACTACTATCTAACTTTAGTACTGTCTTACCCAGTAGAAATACATTTTTCAAGACAAAAAAATTAGGAATGATCCTTTTTTTTATTATACTCATAAAGCTGGGAATATTTCTTGATCTGATTAATATAAGCAAAACCAGTTACTAAATTCTTTTTGGGAAATAATGAGCATTCTGCTTGTCAATGCCACTGAACGTGTTTAAGCATATGCCTAACTGTGAGTTGTTTCGTTGTTGCCTCTGCAGTGCATGGGGATCCATCTATGTAGAAGTCTGTGGCATTCTTGATGTGCAACTTTCTAGTATTTACATATGATAACACTCTACTGCTTATTTTATGTGAACTGTTGTTTCTTTTTACATAGCTGCAGCTGATAATTGCTTTTTATGATTAAAGTGAGAGAAGGAGGTTCTTTAATGCTGTCAAACAGAAATGACCTTCAAATCTCTATGTTTCAGAATATTGTGTCAAGAGCTTTTATAA